TAAATATGGACTAGCTCTGCTCCAGTGGCTGGAAATGGTAGAAATCCACTTCATTTCAAAGGCAGCACAGTGAGGCCAACACTAACTGCTTCTTGCTTTTCTACTCAGAATGGTTACTATACATTAGATGTATATGATCTTACTAAAAAAGCTGAGAGATGACTCTTGTCATCTCACTTAGACAAAAGGGTCCACTGAAAGCCTGAAATGATTGCTAGTCACCTGGCATTTATCAGAGTCCTTTTAAAAAAGGTGTATAAGTACCAGATGCACATGCTATTTATTTTACATGCTAAATGGTTAGTAAACCATAAAAGCTAGTCCTCCATAAGTAGGAAATGTCAGGAGCAGTGTGGCCTTTGCAGTAAGACCTTTAGTTGCATATTGAACAGCAAGGACAGGAGGATATTGAATAGGTGATGATTAAATGTGTACTCTCTGCCTGCAGCACTGAATGAGGAAGGGTCTCTGAGGTATTCAAAGCAAAATACTCAGGCAGTAGTTCTGGCAATTCCTGGCTTCTGAGTGCTCAGGTTCGCAAACTTCATTGCTATTTAAGTGAAATTGATATTGTTTGGGGAAAAAAAGAAGACAAGACAAAAGAGGACTTTCATCATGCTGCATCAGAGTGACACCCATGTGGGTCATCAACAGGGCCAGAGTATGTTCAGTTGCCTGCTGGGACATCCTGAGCTAACAGAGTCAGCAGCACCCACAGCAGTGTATCAGCCTTTATGTCAGCCCTACACCTATCACCCACAACTGTTCCTATTATTCTTGCTTTCCACTCCGAGCACTAATTTTAGGAGAGGCACCCTTGCACATCTCCTGCTCACGTAATAACCCTGTGGCTAAGCTTTAATGTATCACCGCCAACAAACGGGAGCTTCTGCTGTCCCTGTGCGTTAGGCATATGAACCCAAGCTCAGCTAATGAATCAGGCCCCTTAGGGGATGGGGGCAATGAGGTGCCTCTTGAATGTCCCAGATACACCCCAGCATGTGCAGTAGCAGAACTGTAGGCACTTGTGTACATTTCCTGGAGAAAACATAGGTGGAAACATGATTTAAATGGGAATTTCTGGGTTACACCCCTGCCTGCAGGAGCTTAAATTTAGTCCACCATGCTCAGGGAGCTGTGAGAGGAAAGAACATTATCATACATTTACATGATGCAATGAACCACCATGAAGAATTACCAGTCTGTTGGCAAATGAACCAGTTTGGGAATCAGTACAGCTATGCCAGCACAGCCCCATACCTTGGTCAATTAAGCCTGATGAAAAGGTAGAACTAACTTGTTCAGTTAGAGAGCCATGCTAAAGGAGGTGTCTGATGTAGACTTAGGATGAACCTGATGCTTAAAACATTGCGCCAGTGGCTATGCTATGGAGGCGTTTTATGAACAGCCCCAGATGATCAGTAAAAATCTTTTACTTGGACATATGCTAATGGTGCCATCTCCAATGTGGCAAACTAACATTTCTCAAAGGCTTGTTAACATTATAGATTTCAGACAGATTTTATAAAAGATACAGAAACCACATGATTAATCCAATAGAGACTCACTGTCAAACTCTGAGGTTTTGTTTCAAAGCATGAAGGTGGTAAGTGGATTTCCTCAAGAATTTTTCTGGTGGACAACAAAGAAGAAAAGCATAGTTTTCCTGCTTTGTTCTTAGAATGGCTGAAACATTTTGATGAGAATTTCTTCAAAAGAGTTCTGCTTGCTACTCCACATGAATATGCTGGCCCAAATGGTTAAAATTTGGAGAAATTATGTACACACTGAAAACTGAGTCTTAGAATGGCAAGCATTAAACACTATAAGGTGATATTTTCTGTATTACCTATAGTCATGTACCTGGTAAAACATTTCAGAAAGAAAGACAAGATATAAAAAATCCTTATAGCTGTGCTGTGAAGTATTGCAAAAATAGTTACAACTAAAACATCCTTCCTTGTGATCAAAGACATTGTTAGAGAATGCTGAACACTGCTGGAAAGACACAGCCATTCAAAAAGTGATCTGCTTGGTATGTGTGTTCTCATATAGAAATAAATTGAAGGCAATACCACCTATTCAGCAGTGACAAGTTAATTCAATTTCCATCTCAAAATCAGGTAAAGTGTATCTCATTTGTTACCATGGATACAAGACATTATTTCCATTTGTTTGAGATCTCACAGTGGGTATGAAATTAAACTGTGACACAGTTTTATGGAGGAAGTTGACTAAAACCCCCATAAGTTCAATGTCATTAGTCCAAAGGATTTTCTTTTTTAGACACAATAAATAAGCAAGTTGCTATTACTGCCCATAAGGTATACTTCATAAGCAAACATCTGTGTGATTTTGCTGATGCTACTTTGGATCAGTAGGAGTGATGGAAAAGAAAATAAACATTCATTTCATCAGTCCTGCAAATGTGGGAAAGAATATCCAGATGGTAGAAGTACATTAAAAATACAGTGATGTTGTGTTATTTGCTACTGTTTGGCACCAAATATGTTTACAAAAAAATCTCTTGTTTTAGAAAATGCATCTACTTTTTCTCAGACAAATCTTCTTTTCAGGCTGCAGTTCAAATCACTTGCTTTCTAGTTTTCAAAGTCAGAACAACAAGAGGTGTACAAAAAAGTGGAGGAGAATGAAGAGGAAAGAAGGAGGAAGAATACATTTTTTAAAGCTGACATATATGCAGGGTTTAGGAATTCAGTGGCATTCAGTTTACATTGTTTGAAATTAATTTTAATATATACAAAAGGATAAAAGGGAATACAGGTCTTCTTGTTAAATTATTACTACTCAAGTCCTGATGTATGTTTAATATTTCATAGAAAGACTGATTTCTATAGATGCTGAGCACCTGCTATAGTGATGGATTTCAGCTAAAGCTGTCATCTCTCAACACTTACAAAATGAAGCTGGAATAAAACAGAGTCTACCTAAATCAAAGAGGTTTTTCTAAATATTCCTGCATAAACTGCATGAAAAGCACAAAGGTTATGGGATGTCATGACTATGGCTAATCATTGAAATCCAAAGCCATCATCCAGCTGCTTAATTGACTGATAATTTCCCACAAAGTATTCTGAACTCCACCTCCCGTGCTTCTGTGTTGCTGTTCTCCTCAGCATATTGTCAGACTGGATTATCTGCAATGTCTTCTCCAGCTCCTTGGGCCATCTCTAATTATATCCCATTGGGAGTTAGTAGGTCTGACCCCGAGATGGCAAACTAGAAAAATTCATAACCTTACAGCAAAATTGTCACAAACATAGTAACTCTCAGAGGAATAGGGACCACAGTGTCCGTTGCTGGCTCTGTTATTGACTTGCATTATTAACATTTGCTTGAAGTTCAATAGAAATCTATTTATATTCTACAGACTTGATTATCCTTCATCCAGCCCCCAGGTAGGAAATTCTAATAATGCAAAATGAGGGTTAGAGCTATAGTGTTTTGATTTAGTAGTATTTTGTGCCCACTTTTGACTAATTTTAATGGAGAATTAGCACTAGGCTGAAATTTAGCACAATATTTATATATGCAGTTAAATTTAATGAAGCAAGTGATATTTAAGTATCCATTTATATAAGGATAAGATCATGAATAGACCTCAAGCATATCTAAGATATACTGAAACCTGAAGTATTTCTGATTAATTACTTCATTGCTAAGTTCAGGAAAGATTTTATTCCTGAATTATCAATGACTTATTTTCTATCCTTCAAATATTTTGCTCAGAATAATTCCACTATACCATGAATCACCCAAATTTTCTAAATATCTGCAGGTTTAAAGGTGCTTATGTTCATATAAACACATGTGTAGGCTTGTCTTGTGCTCTGCTATTTTGTGTTAGGCAGAATTTACAGACTTGTTGGATCTGATGGGTACCATGATAGCCATGCAATTCCTTACTCAATGAGGCAGCTCATACGTAACTGAATGTCTCCTGGTTTTCATCATAATAGAGCAGCTTAGTACAATCTGGAAGTGGGTATAACTTGTCCCCTTCTGGAATCTAATAACCAGGAGTGATAGAGGAGAACACATCTTGCTTCAGGGCACAGACGAAGGAATCTCTGCAGCGACATCTTGAGAAGCTCTATTCTAGCTGGGAACCCAATCCAGTGTTGTGGTGAGCCACTGCCCTTGCACTCTATCATGTATCAGCTGACTATAAAAGCCTGGGCAGGAAAGATGTTACATACATGCGTCTTGAATGAGGGGTGCTTATGTATCAGTGGATGTGTTAGATGAAGCATTGGGAACAGTCTGGATGTGCTTGCCAAGACTTGCCCAGCACAATGTCAGGAATAACTAACAAACAAGGGAGAATGCTTATGATAAACACCTCCCACTGCAGGGACACATTGCAGTTTCCCGCTGACTGGTGTCAGAGAAAAAGCTTTGTTGCTGCACCAACCCACTTTTAAAAATGATTGAATGAAAAGGTTACATCCACTGGACAGTATAAATGATAAAAGCTCAAGAGATAACATTGATGTTGCTATCCACTTGTAAGTTATCAGGAGGCTAGTCTGGACAAGCTGGAGATGCCTCAGTCATCCTCAAACAAGAGCAGAAAAAAAGGCAAAACTGAGAAGCAGAGATGCATTTAAAGATGCAGATGAATGCAAATGAAGATACCACAGAATATTGGCTATGCTATACAGGACAAACTTTCTTGAACCTTTCTGCAGAATCAGGGCCAATTGAATTAAGTGAGGAGAGCAACAGAGGATGTACCGAAGTAATTTGCTCCTAACTAGAACATGCATAAGGAGTTTTCTTGAAAGAACAACAGTTTACAGTTTATAGCTATCCCTAAATATGTCCCCAATTCCTCCTCCCCTTTCTCCATCTAAAATCCATAAGATTTTGACTCTGAAAAGAAATCAGGACCTTCATGACTAATAGTCTTAAGTATAGCACACTCCCATGGTACTACTTTCCTAAAAAAGACCAGTTCTTTTCTTCCTTAGCAATACCTGCTGCATGCCTTGCATTGTCTGCTGTAGGAACTGCAGCTGCTGGTCCTTTGTAAGGCTTTCTTCTGTCCGAAAGAGCTGCCCTTTCTCCTGTTTCAGGAGCTCCACTTCATTCCTATAAGCATCCAGCTGCCATCGAAGACTATCATTCTCTTCCTTCAGCGCATACGCTTGGGCGGCTAGAGCTAAGAGAAAAAGAAAATGTGAAGAAATCAGTAAAATGGGTTGTTTCCTTACAAATAAGGCCGAGGACATTGTCAGGGGAGATGACAATACAGCTGAAAGCCAGTGAGACATTTCAGAGCTGAGACAAGACCCAGCAGAGCTGAAAATTATTAGGTTCTGGCAAAGACTGTTGCTGGGAAGTTATTTCCTGGGATGGAAGGAGCCATAAAAGCGACCCTGGATAATTCGAATGCTACTTGCAATCTGGCTGCTAAATTTAGGCTTATATTTTAGGAAGAAACTGGCATGCAGTCCAAGGGCAAAGCTTCCACCAACTTTACAGCATTTTTCCAGTGATGTTATAGGATCTCATACAGTCGTTTAGTATTTATATTAGTGTAGCAGCCAGATGTTCCAATCAGATCTGTGCTAAGGAATTCTGACTACATAAAGTTGCTGGATTTAGACCCATGAGAGAGGAAACACAGAAATTCCTCTCCAATCTTACTATGAACTACTTCGTAGCAATGGTTATGAGGAGCCATTTAGACAGAAATATTATGTAATAGAGTAAAATTATATAAAATGCAAATGCTCAGAAAAAGTGTTGGCACTACAAGAACATTACTACATTAAAGGCATTGAAAGATACTTAAGTCATTTCCTTAGGAAGCTCCATTTGGCCCCTTTTCAATTTAGAATGGCATTTTTATTATCATAACTGATAGCAGGTGTTTGTGAAGAAATCGATTAGTATGCAGGGATGGAAATTACATTTGCCAAACGACTTGCACAGTCTGCAATATAAGCTAAAATTTGTGTAGCAAAAGGCAGAAGGCTATAAAGCATGTACTAGGAACATTATTTAAATAAATTATCCAAACATAAATACATATAGGGAAGCATGGCATTCATTACTTTAGTGATGTGGTTATCATCCTATAGAAGAATCCATTCCTGGTAATATTTATACTTGGCAGAAGTAGTGGTCATTTGGCATAACAAAGCACCATACTATACTATTTTCCTTCTTGGAACCTGGTAACACAACAGCATTATAGAGCAGCTGTAATTAAAAAACAACAATCTGCCATAGCCAATGCTATCAACATTTGGTAACTGAAGCACATAACTGATTTACATTCCTGATTAAATGATTTCAGGCTTGGTATCACAGAATTCTTCCTTGCCCACCTACAATAGCAATATGGTTAAACTCCAAATTACAGGAAATTGTGTATTAACTCCATTTAATGTTAGGCCTCTCTTGACTAGACTTCCGCAGATAAAAGAGTCCCCTGTTCCCCATGATAACATCATTCAAAACATTTGTGAAATTATATCAGCACTTAGATAGAATGTCACAATATTTCGTTACCAATAAAAATGTTTCATCTTTGGTAGGACAAATCTACCTTTTTCTCAGATAATTTTTACTCATTTTAAAATAGTACAAATGCATTATCCAAAACAAAGTATAGTCAGCTACCATTCAAATACAGACATGGACTGGGTTTGTGCTTAATTTGGGTAAATATTCTACAGAATCTCTCTGGAAGATTTAGCAATAGCTACAGTATTGTTACATCAAATTAAATTGTTCTGAAAAGCATGTAATCATCCTTCCATGACAAAAATTACCCTCAAGAAATTGAAATGATGAGTCCAATGGGCAAATAAGAAGATGAAATCCTTTTTACCCTTTTGTTTTTTTTTCTTGGTAAAAGTCAACAAGCTATAATAAAAGAGATTTAAAAAAAAAAAAAAGAAAAAAAAAGAGGTCAAGGAAATTAACATCTCAGTATAACAAAACTCAAGCCAAAATGAAATAATTTGGGTTGGAAGGGACCTCTAAAGATCATGTAGTCCAACCCTCTTGCCATGGACAGGGACCTCTTCACCAGATCAGGAGCAGTAATTCATCTGCTGTCCATCACCTAATCCAGCTCTTAAAAAACTCCTGAGTGTAAGACCCATGTACTTGTTAATTACCGTCCCCACTGAAAAGTGGGTTAGGACCTATATTCGCCTGAAATTCAGGCTGCCCTATCTACACAGCTGCTGTTGTGTATTTTCTGGGTCACAATACTTGGTTAGAGAACTCCTTTTTGTCCTCCTAGGTGAGTTAAAGCTATTGTGCAGGGCTAGGAACAGCATGAGAAGTCTGCTGCAAGGACAGTAAATTAGGGGGATGGAAAGGGCTATGACATATTGCAAAAGTAACCAACCTGTATGTGATGAACCTATTAGTGTTTAAAAAAATACCACATCCAAATAGAACAGGTCACAGGACCATTTTTCCTGCAGAAATACAATACAGCTTTTTACTGCTAAAAAAATCAGAGTTGCACCTCTGAATACCATTATTTCAAATATTAAATATTTTCATTATTTTAAAATCATATTTAGTATGCTATCTTAAAACCTGTATGACAGTAATTTATGCTATGGTACAACCAAAAAGTCCCATCCAAGGGCGGGTGCCCTGTTATTCTAGGCCAGAAGAAAAAGGTTGTGTTCGGAAGAGGTTACAATCTGTCTTAGGACAAAATGGAAATACCTCAAACAACCTAAAGTGAGAGAATAAGAACACAGCAGAGAAAAGTTTGAGATACTATTCAGGATTCCCAGAGGTGTACAATTTCTTATCAACATTATTATACACTCTAGCGATCTTCCTAGTTACGCATAGTAAGCAATTAAAGACAGAGTCCAAGGTAGAAATATGTCCTTAAATAAGGAGGATGCAACACATATATATCAGCAGCGCAGCAGCATACTAGATTGTCACAAGCTTTTCAATGAATTAATTACAGATAAGAGTTCAAAATGATATGACATTAAATGTATGTAGTTCCTATGTTGTTTAATTTAAAGGTACAAATAGTTGGTTCTTAACATGTGCAAACAGAGTGGTTAGCAGAAAAGGAAAATAAGTCAAAGACAGATATCGAGTGGACCCCAAGGACTCCAGGTCATTCAACACTGGGTAACTGTTTTAAACAAAACCAGAAATGTTTTTTGTGTGACCTAGCATAATTTTAAGATATTGATACTTTAGTTCATTAAAATTAATAAAATTCTGAATTCAGACCAATGTCCCCTTTGATTCCAAACCAAATATATATTATATATAAAACTAATGATATTTAAAAAATATATTTCATTATAATAATGATATGTATTAATATGTAATTGATTGCATATTATGTAAAGAAAGATACTTAATTGAACACTAAAATTAGAGGAGAATTTGTAGGGAGAAGGGAATCTGCATTTTTGAAAAGAAATATTTTTTCAAATTTTTACAGAATTTTTTGCTCTGATTGATTGAAAAAAACTGATGAATGTAGTTTTAGTTCTAAAAATAAATGTTTACGCAGTTTATCTCCATGCTACTTCTCAAGCTATTTTAAGTTTGGTAGTTCAGATACTCATCTACAAAATCCCTCTCTGAGACATGATAAAAAGCATCTTAGCATAAAAAGACAATGAATGCTGAACGCATTTACAGAAGAACTATATAGAAGAAAGCTATATCAAAAGAAAACTCTGTCAAGAATCCTGAATAGCTGCCCCTGGTGAAAGCAAGAGAAAATACTCCTACCTAAACAAACACAGCTGGAAACCAACTCAACATACGCTTTACAGCACTTTTTACTGAGGGATGCAAAATGATACCTGCCAGTCTCAGAGCAGTTGGAGGAAGATTATACATATATAAGTGAGTGAAGCCTTCACACAGATATTTTAAGGACATCTAAAAGTTAGTGTGATTTCCTTGTGCTGAGGCAGAAGTGCTATATACAGTTTGGCAATAGCCTCAGTGTCAAGATAGATTCAATGTAGTGGTCTCAGGATAGACCCAAATTGAAAAGACACTCTTTTTACAAGAAGTGACTGATCAGAAATCCACAGAAGTCTAAGGACAAATTCATTGCCTGACGCCTCAGAAAAAAACCAAACAACTTTATTTTTCTAGGTCATCTGTCTCAGGTAGTTAGGAGCACACTTTCTTTATGAGTAGTACTGATCTGTACCTTTCACTTTTAGCTGGTAGTTGGTTGTCTACATCTAACTTAATACATAATAATGCCCACTGGAGCCAATGTAGAGTATGTCTTCACAGGTGATACAGGGTAACTGAAGTATTTTATGACTCACATCATTTCATAGTGGCCAGGAAATAAAGTGAACACATCACATCTCTGGATGTATCTATTTATCGAGGCTATTAGGGGGAATTAAAAATTTTCTACCAGTTCTATTAAAGCACACCTGTGCTGTGCATTTCTCATTAAATGATCATTAGATGATGCCTAATAACATTAGAATTAACATTAATGGCAGACTACTAATTCACAAACTAGGGACACTCTGAGCTGAAATGCATAATCAGGTTATCTCAAGAGTCTGAGGCAATCTGGAAGTAGTATCTGAAAAACAAATGAGCAAACACTAAAAACAGTAACAGAAAACCCGCTTGTAAATTCTAGAGCACAGACTTCCCTTAGGTCCTCCTAGAAGAACTTTTTCTATATATTCTTTTTTTTTTCTTTATAGATTCTTCTATACTTTTATAGAAACGGATCGTAAAACTGCAAACTTCTGTGCTTATTTGTCTTTCTTCAGACTTTTGGTCTAAACTCTTCAGCAGAATTTCTTAGGATTTTGGAACTTCGACCAATCTATCTATAGTGAGGCTGATGAAAAGAGATGAAGAGCATATTCCCCAACCTTCCTGCTACCTGAGTTCTATTAATGTCATTATCCTAATTTTCTGACTTGAAAATAAGGTTTTAAATTATATAATGTTTCTTTTGATAACAGCAACAAGAGAAGTATCAAAACCTGCCAAAATGATGGCTGTTATGATGGTAATTTTTTGCATCAATCCCATCGCAGAGCATTTACAATGTCAAAAAAAAAGCCATCTTGCAAGACACAGCTACTTCTTCAAAGAGTTTTCAGCTTGAGGGACTGAACAAATGTGAGAGGAGAGAAATAAGGACACGAAGTC